TCGCCGCTGTCCGCCCTCCAAGATGTACCCCAGATAACTTACCCTCTCTCTGCATATCTGTGCCTTCTTCACGGATGCCCGATACCCTAAGACCCCCAGGGTGACCAGCAAATCCTGGGTTCCTTGTTCACAGTCCTCGGCCGTGTCGGCAGCAATCAGGATGTCATCTACTTACTGTAGGAGGGTGAGGCCAGGGTGCTCCCTTCTGTACTCACCCAGGTCTTCGTGTAGTGCCTCATTAAAGGTGGTGGGCGAATTCTTGAACCCCTGAGGCAGTCGTGTCCAGGTGAGTTGTCCGCTGTAGCCCTCCTGTGGATCATGCCACTCGAAGGCAAACAAGGGTTGGCTCCTGGGTGCTAGCGGCAGACTGAAGAAGGCGTCCTTTAAATCTAATACAGTATACCAGATTCTGGTGGGCACCAGGGAGCTCAAGAGAGTGTATGGATTGGGGACAGTTGCGTGTATGTCCATGACTCTTTTATTTACTTCCCGGAGGTCTTGCACCGGTTGGTAGTCATTTGTGTGAGGCTTCTTGACCAGCAGTAGGGGGGTGTTCCAGGCAGATTGGCAGGGAACCAGCACCCTAGACTCCGTAGTCTCTGGATGTGTAGCTGAATTCCATCCCGGGCCTTCTGAGACATGGGGTACTGTTTGATCCTTACCAGACCTTCTCCTGGCTTTAGCTCCACTAGGACTGGGGTCCTGTGAGCAGCTAGTCCTATCCCTCCTGTCTCTGCCCAGGCTGTGGGGAATTCTCGTAGCCAACTATCCATGTTATCCCCCCTTGGGAGCGCCTCCTGGTGGAGGCGGTACTCATCCTCTGGCCTCAGAGTCAGAACGTGGATGGGGTGGCCCTCGCCATCGGTGACCTGAGGCCCCCCTTGTCTGAAAGTTATCTGAGCTCCAATCTTGGTCAGTAAGTCCCGTCCTAACCATGGGTAGGGGCATTCTGGTATTACCATGAAGGAGTGGGTTACCCTGCCCATCCCTAAATTCACTGTTCTTCGGGTAGTCCATGAATACTGGTTCATACCAGTTGCCCCTTGCACCCGGGACTTTTTGCTACTAGTTAGTTTTCCTTGTGGAGTGCAGAGGGCCGAATGCTGTGCTCCGGTGTCAACAAGGAAGTCAACAGGGGTCCCCTCCATTCTAAGAGTTATCATGGGCTCGGGGAGGGGGTTAGAACCCTGAATCCCCTAATCACTTAGTTCATCAAGCCCCAAGACCTTTACTCGTCTGTCTTGCTCCCCTTCCCACTGCCTCTCTCAGGACATTCTTGAGCCCAATGCCCTATCTTCTTGTAGTACGCACATTGATCCTTCTGCAGTTTCCACTTCCCTTCCCCGGAGGTCTCCTTACCCTTCTTTCGATCATTTGCAAGATGTCGGAGGCAGAGATCCTGCTTCTCAGGGGAGTCCGTAGTGGTGGCCCACAGGATCCGAGTCTGCCTGCGAGGTCTCGAGTCTGCCTGTGAGCCTGTTTATTTTCAGGGGGCTCCCGGTTATTGTACACCTTTTCAGCCACCACCACCAAGTCCTGCAGACTCTTCTCTCCAGTCTATCTATTCTTTGCAATTTTCTCCTAATATCTGCAGCAGACTGGTTTACAAAGGCTACAATAACCGCTGCCTTTCTCTCAGGAGCCTCTGAATTCATGGGGGTATAGGTGCGGAATGCCTCCATGATCCGCTCTAAAAAGGCTGCTGGAGATTCATCTTTCTCCTGCTGTACGCTCCCTACCTTAGCCAGATTAGTCGGCTTTCTGGCAGCCGCCCGGAGACCCCCCATTAGAGCCTGGCGGTAGACCCGGAGCCTCTCCTTACCTTCTGCTGTGTTGAAATCCCATTCAGGCCTAGTCAGAGGAAAAGAGGTAACTATCTGAGCTTGGTTGGTGGTAGGATTCCCATCCACGCCTGGAACCAGCTTCCGGGCCTCATTAAGGATTCTCTCCCTCTCCTCGGTGGTGAACAGGACATGCAAGAGCTGCTGGCAGTCGTCGCAGGTTGGCTGATGGGTAAAAATGATAGAATCCAACAGATTAATAAGTCCTGCTGGCTTCTTAGAAAACTCAGGATTTTGAGTTTTCCAATTATAAAGGTCGCTAGTGGCGAAAGGCCAGTAGTGATGGGGCTGATCGCCCCTGTCATCTGGGGGACCAGTGGCTCGCAGGGGTAAAGTCTTAACAGTGGAGTCGGCAGCGAAGGCGGATTGTTCCCTCTGGGCTCTTTGTCTGGTATATGGCGGGCTTCCCGCTCTCCTCGTGGCATCTGCTTCCCTTAATGGGGGAGGGTCAGGTCCCTCTTCTGGCACCCTAGGGAACTGATACGGGGGAGGAAAAATTAATTCTTCTTCAGTTCCCCCCTGCAAGACAGAGTAGGGGGGAGCTGATGGCAGGGTGATTTTCTTCTCTGTCCTCTCCGTTCCCTGTGAGGCAAAAATAGGTTCTGGCTCCGAGGGGCTTAAGCCAAAAGCGTGGGTTCTCCACAAGCCCCTACCATGTTATAATGTATGGGAGCTGATCGGGGTAACCTGTCTTGGGTTGAGAGACGACACTCCGAACCCGGTGAATGGTAGGGAGATCGAATGTTCCCTGTGGTGGCCATCCGACATTGAAATCTGGCCACTCATTTGAACAAGTCTGCCATTCATTCTTCCAGACCTCCATACTAAAATCGTTAGCTCTTTCCTCTACTTCCTGAAAATGATTAATCACAATGCTCAAAGGAGTAATCTGAGTCTGTCCCATAACATCCATACAGTGAGTCCATAAAATAACACATAAAATTACAACAGCCACCAGGAGAAGAACTCCCCACATCAACATTTTCAGTATTATAACAATTCAATACATTCAGATTTAAGTTTTTGTAGCAAATTTACAAACATGAGCAAACTGAAACCTTTCCCTTACTTATACAAACATACAAACAAACAAAGAACACAGAAATAGTCGGGGGGCCCCCAAGAACAGCTTTCCAACTCCGTGGAAGTGGCGCCTAAAACTAAACGACGGCCTCAGGCCGACTACCTCGTCCTGAGAGGGAATTCTATGTCCCTCCTAAAGGAGGATCAAAACGTCTTTTGATCTTTCCGGTCCATGGCCTTCAATAACGTGTCCGCTAGACCTTTCAGGCACTTCCCATGGGGATCCCTTCATATACTTCTACGGCAGCCAGACAGGCTCTCTGGATTCAGTGTCCCTCAGTCTTGGAGATCCCGGACGAGCCCCCATATGTAATGCCCAAGTGTCATAAACCCCAAAGACTACCAGGGAGCCGAATTGGATACAATTGCAGAAAGCCTGTATTTATTTCAGACTAGTCCGAGCTCAGTCCCACTTACACCAGCAAGGGCATGGTGAGAAAGAGAAAGAATTTAACATATCAATGGGTTTATAGGGAGGGTGGTGCCACTACCTTGGCTGACCTGATTGATTGGGTTAGGGCTAGGGTCCAGTTAACCTGCCCTCTCACCCTGCCCTGCCCTCTCACCCCGTCCTGCCATCTCAGTATGGCCTGGTTATATACTCCGGATCCATATACCCGTGGTTTCCTCAGCTCTGTCTTTCTTCGTCAACTCAGCAAAATGGGAGCAGTTCGAGGCTTCACCTCCTCTATGTTTCTCTTCCTCCAAGCCTCCTGCCCCAGTCTGGCCTTCATTCTAATTACATCCATTTATGCCATGTAATTCCCTCTTCAGTCAGTCACTGTAGCAAGGGGGAATGGGATTCTGCTGATTGGCTCAGGCTAACAAAGCCCGCCACTGGGAGCTGAGGCCCCAATCATTCCCACTGGAAGGGCTTGGCTGTTTCCTAATGGGAGGGGAGTGGGATGTGCACCAGGAAGCAGCTGAAAGCATCTACTATCAGTTTAAAAACACCTTGGGTCATCCCACAGCCCCTGAGGAGGACAGCAGGTGTCAGGCTGCCGTGCCATGTGTCATGGTTGCTACTGAAAGTGAGACTGACAGTGGCATGTGCAGCACCAAAAGCTCCCAACACAAGGGACACAAAGAAGGACACCATCTAACAAAGACACTTTATTTGTTAGCTTTCACATGAACAGTCAACCAGAAACAATAGTAACAACAAATAAAAATAACTTGCAAGGGCACCAGACATCAGACATACACAAGGACGCTGCTGACATTAAAGACAGGCCGTGCTAGAGGTGGCTTCTTGGGTGTGTGGCGTCCACAGCTAGGCCTCTGTCGCCAGGGAAGGCGGAGGCCTCGGTGAAGGGCCTCTGGAACCCGCATCACAAGGCTGGATATCCGGATCCAGAGCACAAGCTCTCCCACCATCAGCCAGTCAGGATGTCTGCAATGTCAATGTGTCTTCATGCTCTTTCCCCTGAGGTTTTTGTCTTCACACCTTTCCCTGGGCTCTGGGCCTTGAATAGTGACTAGAAGAAGTGCCCATTTGCTCACTGACAAGGGGAAGCTGAGGACGAAGGCAACCCGGGCACCTTGCCCTCACTCATCTCCCAGTCCAGCTTCCTTCTGCAACTGTCCCTCCTGCTCCTGCTCATGACTTTTCTCCCTGCCGCTCTCACCTACTGGCATTTCAAAAACTCTACAATGCACCCCTTGATGGACACTGCTAGACCAAGCCTTCCAATTCACCAAAAAGGTCCGGTGTTCCATCGCTCCTCCAGACATCTGAGATACGTCTGTTTTCTGTCTTCTTGGTGTGAGGCCATGTCACAGGCACTGGCAATTCAAGAGCAATGCAATCCCTACAGCTGAGGGATAGAAGAACCTTACAGGTGGTGTCTCTTCCAACGGCACCCCCACAGCTGCTGTGTGAGCATCTCCCAGAAGTGGGTCACTCATCCACAGGCTATCAACTCAGGAGCAACATTTCCTCAGGAGTAAACAATCTTGGGAACTTTCCTCTAGATTGGAAATGGTTATTGTTGTCCACCAGAAAAAAAAATACATATACCAAACAACAAAACCCTAACTGTTGTACTGATGAAAGAAAATCAACTGTCTTACAAGTGCTAATAGCATCTGAGTGTCTTTAATTTCATAGGGACTTAGATAGCAAACAAGCTGTCGTCATTGCCAACATTCCCAACTTCCACTCAGAGAGGCTGGATGTCAGGTGGGAGAACAATACCAGGCCAGGTCTTCACTGCTCCTCACGGCTCCACCAGTCTCTTAGTCAAAGAAAAGCTCAGACACTGAGTTACGGGCCCTGGATGGTTCCAACTGTTTTACCTTCCTAGACAAAAAGAGAGAAAGAAAAACTCTTAGAAAGGTAGTGTCCCAATAGAAACATGAGGAAATTTAGATGCATAAATTATTAACATTATTCTGATGAACATTCTTTGAATACTATCGATATTTTTAAGCTAGAACCTGTCACTGTGTGAGATCTTTGTCCTGTGAGGTAGGATGCTTTTTGCCCATTTCATAGGTGAGAAAACAAATGAACTTGTCTGAGACCACAGAACCAGTAACGGGAAGGGCGAGGCTTTGGGTGACTCTTAATCCCACACTTATTCCACCATGAAAGGACTCTCTTTAGAGGTTATACTTAAAGTGAGGGCTCCACTGATAAGGAGGAGAGGAGGTCTCTAATGAGTTTGGTGTTTTGGGTTCACCTTAGGTGGGGCCAACAGGCACTCCCCAAGGACATCTGTTTGTGGCTATTGCTGGCTAGCCCGCATCTGACCCAATATGGTGCCTATGGTTCAAGTCATCACATTAAACACTTGGATTTCCTTGGTAAGGAAAGTTGATGCACAACATAAATCACAGGATTTCAAAATAAAATGCACGTTTCCCCAGCATGCTTAGATCCTCAAAGGGCAGTGTGCTCCCCTGGGCAGCTGCAGAGGTGAAATGTCCCCACAGAGACCTCGGAGCCTATGCCTGCCCACCTCAGCCCCTCCACCCCCTCTGGATCCTCCTCCTTTATCCTCTATTTATCTACTCCTCTGGGAATGCCTCACCCTAACCCTTTCTTCTTTCCCTTGCTCCCCTTGCCATTCTTTTTTAGCAAAAAGAAAAGTATAATTTTTTTCCTTGCCTTCATTTTTCTGGCTCTTCTCTGCCCTCCCCTCCCTCACTCCCGAGTCCTCCTCCTTCACCATCTCTCCTCTGTCCATCTCAGTCCCTTGGTCACTCTCTCCATGAGAATCGCCTCTTACAGGCTTCCTTCTTTCAGCATTTGCTTTGGATCAATTACACTGAGCAATACCAGCTACAAATCCAATGAGTACAAGCCATTCATTCTCCTTGACAGACCTTCCCTTGGAAATACAGGACCACCAGCCGAACTCGACTTTTCTCTTTAGAAAGTGATCAGCTCAGTTGGTTGAGCTGGTCCCATGCCCTGAAAGTGGACAGGTTGCCTTGAAGTCAGGTGGGGGCAGGAAGCGGGGGGTCACATGGTCTAATTGGAAAGGAGCCACAGAACCATGTTTACCTCCAACAGTCCTCCTCAGGCCTGGCCTGTGTCCTGGGTCCTTAAACAGCCTGGGAATTGTAATACCCCCACAAAACCACAGCGGTCATAACCACAGAAGCTTGCAATTTCAAGGGACCTTAAGGGAATCTAAATTGCTTATTATTATTAATATTAATATTATTATTATTAATATTATTATTATTGTTATTTTGTTGTTGAGGAAATAGTTGGTGAAGGAATTAAGGGATGTAGGTAAAGTCACAAAGATGGTCAGTATTAGGGACCAAATGGTGGCTGTTTACAACAGCAGAGAGCTTCTTCTGCTCTTTTTCTTTTGATAAAAAAAAAAAAAAAAAAAAAAAAAGGACCTTGATGCAGCAAGAGCTTGGTGAACATATAACAGCCAAATCCCTACTCTGCTCTGGGACCTTATACTCAGGAAGACCAAACCAAGCCCAGGAACTCACCTAGTAGTCGGGGAGGGGCATGCTTCTCTGTACATAGGGATTCTGCGAGTGCAAGTAGGGGTTCTGCGAGGGGCCGTCCTCCTTGAGGGTGGCTCGGACTTTAGGGAAGATGCTCCCTTCGGCTCCGAGATTTGTGAAGCCTGTTGTTGTCATTCTATGACTCTGAAATTCATCCTCAATCAGATTCTGGTCTTCAAAACTCTTAGTCTTCTTTGATCTGTAATTAGTAACGGGAATTAGGATCTGACAATAGCAGAAAGTTCCTGAAAGCAAATGTTAATGCCAATACTCTTTTTTTTTAATGTTTTAAAATTTGCAAATATTTTAAAATTTACATGTGAATTACCAATATATAGATATTGCAGAGTTCTCATACATCACCGCCCAGATTCCCCACTTGTTAACATTTCTGAACCATTTAGGCATAAGTCGCAGATCTGATGTCCTATTACCTATAATATTTCCGTGTAGAGTCAATAGGAAGTCTAAGGACTGTCTCCTCATAAGATTCGCTTGACCATCAAAACCAGAGGGCTAACACGGATCCGACATTACCATCTAATTCCACCAAGCCATGTAGATTTTGCTAAAGTTAGTATTCTTAAGTGTCCTTTTGAATTATTTATGGAAATAATAATAGAAGTCAAAGAGGAAAGATGGTTTGTGATACATTTTTCCATTCAAGCAAAGTCTATGTCTATAGAAGCACCTCAGAGAAGGAAACAAGTTCAAGGCATACAGGTCTTACTACCTTTCCGTATTGGCCTCTCGGGGATAAGCATTTCAAGCCAGTGAAGTGCTTGCAGGTGGAGGAGGCATCTGCCCCAATTCACCCTGATCGTGACCCTATTCTTCCTTCTGTCCCTCGGGCCACAAGACCTGTCCCTGCTGTGCCCTAGACCAGTGGTCGGCAAACCTCGGCTTGTGAGCCACTGTTTGCCGCTCTGTTGACTAACGAGTTTGCAAACTCATTAGTCAACAGAGCGACAAACCGTGACTCTCGAGCCGAGGTTTGCCCACCATTGCCCTAGACAACAGAAGTAGGATTTACAGAGAGCTGCATCCATGACGCCCACAGGGCCCTCCCAGGGTGACAGTCACTCTTCCTCCAACACTGAGAATGTCCTAAGGGAAGACCCACTCACTCTGGACCCTAAAGGCCAGCCCAGCCCACGATACAGCTCCTGCCCTCTGACAACTCCTGTCTCAGGGGCCTGAGGAGAGGCTGCCTTCCCTTCAAAATGGCCAGGAAGTACCCCCTGTGCTGTGTTCCCAAGAACCAGGAATCTGAGGCTGAGTGAAGAGCACACAGGAAGAAGGGGGCATGGCTGTCCTGGGCCACAAGGTTCCACAGCAGCCCCAGTGGGCCCTGGAGGCCCAGCACAGAGAGCTGGTCTTCTCTTAAGAAAGGAAGAGACAGCTGTGGGCCGTGTTGGGAATGTTCCGGCTCTCTGCCTGGAAAAGGGATGGATCCAGTCCCAGTTCCCAGCTTTTTGTCCTTATAATGGTCTCTGGGGAAGAGGTAATATCAAAGTGAAATTTTAAAAAAGGGAAAAAAAACAAAATATTCTAGGAACCTATGAATCTATGTATCCTCACACGCTAGAGTGCAAAAATTCTTTGCCAAAATGTAAGGTATGAGCTAAATGTTCTTTTTAAAAAGTAGATTGTTTCCTGTTTAAGTGGCTCACCACTTGGCACATTTAGAATGGACTGGATGGCCCTCACCAGTTTGGCTCAGTGGCTAGAGTGTCAGCTCTCAGACTGAAGGGTCTCAAGTTTGATTCCAGTCAAGGGCATGTTTATTGGTTGCAGGTTCCCTGGCTCTGGTTGGGGTGAAGCAGAAGACAACCAGTCGATGTGCCTCTCTCACAACATGTTTCTCTCTGTCTCTCCCTCTCCCTTTAGCTCTCCCTAAAAAAATCAATGAAAGAAAAATATCCTCAGGTGAGGATTAACCAAAAACACAAAAACCAAACAAACAAGAATGGAATGGTTAATAGCATTCTCTCTCCCTATTAAAGAAGGGTATTTAGGGTATCTAATTACTTGTAGAATAAATGAGTGTTGGGTTTTGCGGGTGGTTTTATTCTGCTCCTTTACACCCTTCTCTGTTTTCCAGACTTCCTGCAATGATCATGTAGACCTTATGTAATCAGAAGGTAAGAAAAAACACCCCATGGTTTTAGGGAAGCCTCACCCATGTCTGTCCCTGCTCTTGCCTGGGAAAGGCTGTGTGTGTTTTGCAAACCAGAGTGTGATGCAAGTGGCGCTGTGCCCCAGGACAGGGACACTTCCATTCCATACCTCAGGATGATAACTGTAATCACCAAGCCAAGGATGAGGATGCCAGCAATGGTGCCCACGATAGTGAGAATCAGCTGAAGTTCTGGA